AGGTCACCTGGAAGGTCAGGTCACCTGGAAGGTCAGGTCACCTGCGCTCCACAGGTGGATGAGAAGCAGGAGGGGTGGGAGGGCAGTGAAGGTGCTCAGGCAGAACTTCTGAGGGAGGCTTGTGACCTGAGGTGCTGCAGAGCCTTCGGAGGGAGAGCACCATGCAAAGTCACAGCAAGGTGAGGGCAGAACCGTGGTTTGTAGCATAGGGATGGATTTTTCTGACACGGTCTCCTGGCAGAGTCAGGTTTCCTTGGAATACTGCATTTGGCCAGCCCAGCATGCCATGCGTGTGGCCTTGCTGCAGTTTGCAATAATTGCCCCTTCATCAGAGATAAACCCAGAGCCTGCAAGAATCCCATTTTGTCAGGATTTAGGTCTGTGTGTTTAGGAGGAGAGTACAATTGTGTAGAAAATCATATACCGCCAAAGTATTTTTACAGAAGGGGAGAATACGTTCAGAGGAAATACTCCAGGGCCGGTCTTTTGGCACTGCAGGGCTGTGATTTAGCGATTCCCCCAGTTGCTCAGGTGATACTTGTGTAGAAGGTGTGGTTGAGTCCTTGTCTCCAGTTAGCCGGAAGCTTTCTGCTTCAGCACAGAAACAACTTTTCTGTTTTCGTTGACAGAAGAGCAGTAAATGAAAATAAAGGATATTGACGGGGTAACTTCTCTTGTAACAGGTTATCATGAAACTCATTCTTGAAGAATGTTTTGATCAAAAAGGAAATTAGAAAGCCCACCTGGCGTTGGCTGTGATAAAGTACAGGGACCAACATGTCGTTCGGTCAAATGAGACCTCAAACGTCACAGGTGAGAGTTTTTGTACTTTTCCATAAAGAATTTTTAGATTTCACCAATAAAAATTAAAAAATATTAAAATAAGTGACACTGCACCATTTCTAGGAGGCCTGGCAGGAAAAAAACCCATACTTTTAACATAATGTATATAGAAAGCAGTCTCTTGTAGTTTATATTTAGTAGCTCAACAATTGCAGAAATATTAAATATAGCTTATTTGCATGGCTTCTAGTTATAGGGAAGTGTCATCCTTGTCAATACCATCTGATTTTTCACTAAAAATCTCAAGACCAAGACATTAAGAATCCCACAGCTGTGACACGTTTGAACACAACCTAAGTGAAGCTCGCTCAGAGCGTGCTTAGTTATTCTTGTTGCAGACATTACCAGGAGCATTCATGTGCTGCTAAGGTAGCTAATGTTATTAACAACAGTCAGAAGTATTTTGATTATTTTTTTTTTTTGCTGGCAAGGTCAAGTTGTGGTGCTGTTTGGATCAAGCTTTCAGAGTTTTGTAGTTTTTATGAGATGAACAAAGGTAGGATTTGAGCTGCAATATTCTTGTAACCATGACACACTCCAGAGTATCAGCTGGGTTTGGTAAGCTTTGTCCATTGCTGTCACAGTGACATACAGCAGTAGCACAGGCTCTCCTTTCTTTCATTTCCATTGTTGAGCTTGTTCTGATGTGACTTATTTTGATGCTGTCAGCTGGCATTCAGTCACAAATTACTCGACTCATTGCTGTTCTCACTATGTAATCGCTGTCAGATAGAGCCTTGCTCTCGTAGTCCATGTGCTAACATCAGGGAAACCATTCCTGCCTCCACAAACTGGAAGTCCACCTAAGCAAAACAAAGCATGTAAGAAGAGGGTTATCATACACCTACAGTTACGATCATCTGTTCTTTATTTAGTTGGTGGAGCTCCATGTTTTTTATGTCCCAGAAGAAGTGTGGAACTTCAAGCTGAATACCATTCCTGTATCTCTTACTAGCAAATTCATCTCAGCTGGATTTATAAGGTGAGTATAGTCTTAGACTTCACGTGCGTGGTAGATCCTTCATATTGTCCTTCGGTCATTTAGTCCAGCTGTTGCTCTCGAGAGCACAGTTACATCTGTTGGAAAAGAGGTGTTCTCTAATCATTTTGGGAGGGTGACAGTGTTACGTCTGTTTGGACTGTACCAGGCTGAGCTCCATTGCGGTCCTTGACGTAAACCATTGAAATGCATTTCCAGAGCACTGCAGATTAATTGCTGCAGAATAATTTATGTTTTAAGATCACAACATAAATTGTGTAGCTGAAAAGTTTGACAGCAGTCAGGTATGAGTATGTATGGCAGAAATGTATTCATTCTCACAGCTTCATTTGTTGAAATGCTGCTTGAAACTAGATGAACTTAGTGCGTGTATCCATTTTGTTCACTGTACTAGTCTCTAGCAGAGGTGAAAAATACGCATCTGGAGCAGTAACTTCAAATCACTTAATGTGATATCTGTCACTGTCCTCTGTTCTCTAGTGTAAATTTATTTCACTAAGTCTCAGTTCTGAGGCATCAACTTAAAATAGGGTTCTCATTGGTTTCAGTGCATTTATATGCACTGGGTATTTGTTGCTTGCTAAGGAGTCTTAAATAATTGCTAATTAATTGCTCTATAGGTACTATGCAATGCTGCAGTACATCAGCATTAGCAATAACTAGCACCCATTCAGTGTATCACTGACTTTAAAACAAAAGCCAAACCAAAATGATTCTCTCTTATGATGTGGGAGAAGGAACAGCAGCCTTGCTGGTACTCACGCTGTTTGGACGCTGTTGATAGCACTGTCCAGTCAGCCTGACAACCCTAGTACCGTCTGAGTCAGCCTAACAAAGTCTTCCTGTGTCGAAGTACAGGCCACTTCCATTAATCATGAAATCAGTGGAAAATATTAAGTGTGTAAGTGTCTATGGCTCCTAGTTCTTGTTCCCATCAAGTTGATTTCTCAGCCCCTGTGATCTTTTATTTCTTCCTCATTCCTCACCACAGAAGCCATACTTTTGTTATTTCTAGATGAGATTGCTGCAAAAAGTTTGCATTACTTTTAAAGGAACACCCTGAAGCAAATTACTCAGATGTGACTAGTCTTCTGCTAGCCAATAGCAGCAAGTCAAAAATACCTAATTATAGTTTCCTAGCACCTACACTGCAAACAGTTTTCAGGTAAATTTCTGCTCTGTATCTCAGGTTCTGTATACCTAAATAATTTTCTCCCATGATACATCACAGTTACTTAGATTCTTTCCCTGCTGCTCATACATGCATTAGATTTAGATTTCTTTGCTGGTTTGGAAGGACGTTATCACCAAAGAATGTGTGGTTTTAGAACTGCCTTTGAAAGAGCTTGTGTTTGTTGGGTTTCAGAAGACTGTTCAAGGGGCAGATCTCCAAGACATCAGCCTAAAGAAATTACAGCTTATGAGAGATGCTTGAATTATAGATGAGCTCCGTTCTCATGTGAGATTTTGGAAGGATGTGTGCTGAATTATGAATCCATCTTTCACATATTTCTTTATGCATTTGAAATAAATGACGTTAAGGTTAATATCTGGAGCAAGGGTAGGAAAATGTTGGCTGGGGAAGAAATAAACAGGAGCTGAATGTACAGGGACCAAGCAGTGTGGTCTAGATGTGTCCACTCTGCAGACTTGGGTCTCCTCTGCTGCATGCCTTTGCTCCAAGGCCCATTTTGAGGAGGGTCCTCAATGTCCAGGGTGTTTGCAGTAATGCAAGGGAAGCATTGTAGCCTACTGAAGTATTGTGTTTACAAGATGAAACTGAGGGTGGTTTTACATACCTAGGGCCTGAAATGAAGGCATATAGGACTGTTTGAGAGTGCAAACAAACCCTGACAGGTTAATGTTGAAGACCTGACCAAGTTGAAAGGATGGTACGCTCTATGCTGTTTAATGAGAATGGCATGTGCTATCCCCTAAGCTATGTCTGTGCTTTGCTTGAGGAGCGATAGCTGCCTGGGCCAAAATCACACTAGCTAATATGCTAACATGTAATCAGCCTGGATGATTAACAGTCTCAGCCCTGAATTGTTTCCCTTTATTTTATATGGTAGCATTTAAGCAATTAGATTTATGTTGTGCTGCAGAGCTTTTGTGTGACTCTTGCACATTTAGTTTTATTCTGCAGGGATGCTTTTTGTTCTGTGGTGGTTTTTATACTGAGCTCATTACTTTAATATTTGCATGGTTTCCAGGAGTACATTAAATGATGCAATTCATATTTGCATCAGTTGTCTCATCATCAAACTATGGTGGAAATGTTCACACTGCAGTGTTTGGTTTTGAATTAAAATACATTTGCATGTACACATACACACACCCAACCGTAAACTTGTGTTGGAGAAGACAAAATCACAGGAATGTGCCTGCTACTTAAAGTGGAGAGTGATGAAACCTTCTGTAGCCTTTAGTGCTTGAAGTGGTGTGTCCTACAGTCCTGGACCAGCCCCATGAAACTTTGTCTCCTGTATGGAAATGCATGACTCTAGTTTCCAGTGTTTTTGTTATTCATCTGCAGATGAGCAAGAGCATTCTGAAGTTGTTGTTTTCAAATTTCAGCTACTTCTGTATTCTCCCTTTGTACGGGGTTCCTAAAACATGCATATTCCTAGTTAGACAGCCCTTGTAATATAGTCTACTATAACGTGATACAATGTTCTGACTCTACCACACCAAGACTCCCTGGCCTGTATGTAATTAGCTTCAGTTCCAAGACATAGTTCTCATTTCTGGCCATTCTGTCCATGCAATCCAGCATGTATGTAGCATTATCTTCCCCCTCCTATTAACTAGCCATCATTATTTGATCTTACAGAGGTATTAATGAATAACAACATTCCAGGGTGTCTCCTCACATCACATTAAGTGTGTTACGGGAGAAGCTTGGAGAGTACCTGCATGGAGTTGAAGTTGCAGATAAATTCAAATTTTTAAAATGTATTGGGAAAAAACTAGCAGTGGTAAGTTCTTTTGTTTGTTTGTTTGTTTGGGGTTTTTGGGGGGGTTTTGTTTGGTTTGGTTTTTGTAGTTTTTTTTATTTTGTGCTCTTCTGCTTTATAATGCAAACCACAAATTTTGTTCCTGCAGATTAGATAATATCACAGAAAATAGACGTAACTGTAGGAGCACTGTTAGCATTTGTTTTTAAACATGCTTGAGCATAAGCTTTTGTCACATCTACATCCCCAGGTACAAAGGCGCAGCTGGACAGGTATATTAGAAAAATCCTTTAAAGCATCAGATGTAATTAGTTGCCATTCAGTGAAAAGATGCTAGTTTTGGTAAGTCAGTGGATTAAATATGACAAATCTGGTTGCATTAAAAAAAATAATCCCCCTAAGGCCATTATTATCAGTATATGGTTGGGAATATGGCACTTGAAGAATTTGCAACAGAAGCTAAGTAAGTCAGTGTTCTTTTTTTCCTGCTGTGACCTGCCCAAAAGCTTTTAAAGATCAGTCTCTGAATAAAAATTTTGCTGGATATACATCTGTGTTCCACTGATTAGTCCAGTAATACAGCCTGATATTTATGTAATCTAAACCCTACATCTGTGAATCATAACTGTTCCTCACATTGATTCTCTATATATTTATATCTTACAAACTATAGCTAAAGATTAAATAAACTTGAAAATCAGTCCAACTGAGCGTTTATTCATGACAAAGACTTAAATTATGTATGTAAGTACAGAATACCTTTTTTGCACTTCTCATTTCACCTCTGTTTCTCACAGATTTGGAAATTAATTACAAGCTGGAAATTTGGTGCTGTTCTTTATTTCATTTGTAGTTGAGTTATCATTAAAGTTACTCACACAGAAGAGTAGAATAAATACTAAGTAATGTGCAAAAACAAGGTGGAAACATTTGAAGAGGTACTTCAAGCCTGTGACTCAATCTGATTCTGAAAATGTGCATGTGTCTTCAAAGAACTGACATATTTTTAACTGCAGGATAATCATAGAATTGTAGAATGGTTTGGTTTGGAAGGGACCTTAAAGACCATCCAGTTCCAACCGCCCTGCCATGAGCAGGGACACCTTCCACTAGACCAGGTTGCTCAAAGCCTCATCCAGCCTGGCCTTGAAGACTTCCAGGGATGGGGCATCCACAACATCTCTGGGCAACCTGTTCCAGTGCCTCACCACCCTCTCTGTGAAGAATTTCTTCCTCATATCTAATCTAATCTAAACCTAATAAGTAAGATAGTATATTTTCTTCCCCACTGATAGTTCTCAGATAAATGGAGAAATTTTCCAGCTTCCTTTAGAATGTCAGGAGTTTAATAAAATATTTTTCTTTAATAGAGAATTAAAGATATTGGTAGATACAAGTGAAGATTTTTAGTGACAAATTACAGTTTTAATTTGGGGTATTTACTGTTGCTTGATGTTTAACTTTATAACAAAGTGTAAAGCAACAGACCAACTAACTAGTTTATTTGTTGTTAAGGGTCATGGTAACCTCACTGAATTACATCTCCATGATCAAATATTTGTTGAGTGAGTTTCCCCCCACCCAGTTTTCTGTTTCACAACAGTAACAATGTAAGCAGTACTAAGAGCTGTAGCCTACCTGCAAGTGAGGTTCTTTAAATCAAAAATGAACATAACCCAAAATCGTGTTCATTTGTTCCCCTTTTCTTGCATATAGCCTGCGCCTCTGTCAGTGAGGCAGTGGCATTGCCTGGCCATTACTGAGGACGGAATTTGGCCCCATGTTTAGTTCAATTTCATTATTTAAATGTAAACTCATATTTCTTCTTTTTTCTGTCGGAGCACATCTTTCAAACACACACTGATTATCTTGGACTTGGTTTTTAGGGTGACTGTTGAAATCTGAAAGTGTGTATCACACAAAGAATATTAAGACAAACCATAAATACAAGAAGACATACGAGCTTAATAGATTTTTTTCTTTCCCCTATAAACATTAAACATTTTGCAGTATTGTATCAGGTCAACAGAGAAAATTCTGTGAGACTCAGCATTTCTATTAAGATTCAGCTTGAAACAAGTTTTGGCAAAGACAGTCTGAGTCTTTCTTCTGTTGTGACTGTTGAATCAGGTCCTTTGAACCATAAGAGAAAGTGCAGTGGGTTAAAAAAAAATTCAGTACCTCTATGTACTCTTGTGAGTCTGACTGAGATTTTGAAAAACAGACGAAGTTTCAGTGCTATGTCAGAAAATAAAATAGTAGTCTATGCTCCTTCTTCCCCATCAGGCCTTTACAGGAGATAGTGCTGGTAAGAAAAAATGTAGCATGTAAAAATTACAATAGAATCTAGAAATTAAGTGATATATAACATTATTGATTAAAAAAGTATTTTATTGGTTACTTTTCCATTCTTTATTTTCCCAGGTGAAAGCAAAGCAAGAAGCAGAACTGGAACTGGAGTCATTTGCTCCTCCTTATGTATGTATTGAATGGCTTTTAAGGCATCATTTTCAGGAAGTTTTACATTGCACATTTCCTCTTTTGTCCTGTCTGATGAATATACTGCATATTTCAGGCACTTTATCCTGAGTTATATTTATTACCTGGAGTGGAAGACTTTGAAGATGTGTCATCATCAACCCAACAAAAACATCTCTTTAGTGCAGAAGCTAATAGGTTTGGTTATGGATCCAGATTACTCAGTCTTTCCCAGCAAAAGCCTGAAAAAAGAAAACAATTTGTAGAAAACATACAGAGCAGTCACCGGCTGGAAAATCAGGAAATGCACAGTCTGGTGGAATGGGGTGAGAAAGAACCTGTTGGAGTTTTGCACAGAAAATGTAAGGAAAACCCTAACAACGGGATTCAAGAAAAACAGACACAGTTCAGAGAGAAAGGTAAGTTTAACCAATATAGTGAAGGAGGATGAAGAAGGGGGAGAAAAATAAATATTTTTATTCGTATTTACAATAAAATAACATTTCTGTTTTCTAATATCAATTATTTTGCAGATCAGAATGGATCTCTCTTCACACCAGGTCATTCAAATCCTACAGGCTGGGAGAAAAATCGTCACAGCCAGGATCAAGAAGACCGTAACACTCCTGAGTGGAACGACAAAGCCAAAGGAACTGCGCCTACTCTTCCTGTCAACCGCAGTGGTGAACAAGGCCAGCAGAGTCAAACACGCCCAAATCACATTAAATATCAAAAGGGTACCACTGTTCATTGTCATCTTTTTGCTAAAGCATGTTTTTTAGAAAGTTGGCACAGTAAAGCTGTGTCCTAAGAGAACTGTAGTTGAAGCATGAGTTGGAATATTGCTATTAAAACAGTATTCTAATTGTTTAAATAATAGTAATAGCTTTCAAAGGGCTGCAGTTTTTACTCTGAATGTGTATTTCACTACATTTATCACCATACTGATACAGGAAAAGACTTTACTTGGTTGATGCATTTGTCTAATCTTATTTGTATGAGAAAAAGAAATTACTAAGCAGCTGCTGTAAAGACTGGAGGATGATGGTCCCATAATTGAACAGCAGTTTTAAATGAAAGAAATCTTGTTATCAGTATATCAGGGAAAGGATAAGTCACCTTATCCATCACTACATTACTACTGATGAGGAAGTGTTTCCTCCCCTCCCTCCCATATAATGTTTATCTATGTGCTATTGAACAGTGGCATTCCTAAAACTGAGAGGAGAGAGAATTCTCTGAGCAGACCACAGGGAAATTAGTACAAAAGTATGAAGGGGTTTAAAGCACACGTAACCTAGGTAACGGCTCTATGCCAAATTAGAAAATGTTGTTTGGAAGAGATCTGTTAACTAGGACTTCCTTTAAAATGGGATGTCTTACGGATACTGAGGGCCATTAAGTCCCTGAACATTATATAATGTTCTTAATATTCCTAAACTTACAGCGATTACCAAAAAAGAATGTGTTTAAATTAGATTTGAATGACTACTGCTATATTAGCATCAAGATTATAACATAGATTGTTTTTGAGGAAATACTTTTGAAAGAGAAGCCTTAATATTTGAGTAGAATTTTACAATTTGTGTAAAAAAGGTGACATCTATTCTGTTGGAAATTTTTATGAGTAATTATTCATGGAGGCAATATTCAATTTTTCATAGGTATGGACACTTTGTAGAACTCATTTAGAGTGATTTTCTGGATATCCAGCACTTTGAGTAAGAAAACAAAAATTTAGACATTGTATTCTTTGAGATGTGTCTAGAGAGTGTATTAGAAAAGGCTTTCATAGATGACTTCAGTAATTTCAGTTTCCAGTAATGATCTGTCAAAAAATAGTTTTGTCCATCATCCTCTTAACTGATATTAAGTATAAGACTGCTTAATGTACAAATATGTGTATGTAAATAAATGACTGAAAAGTTCTCCATAACTTTATTTTGAATGATGAAGGATGTGGATTTTGAGTCGTAAAGGTGAAGTCCGTCAGCAATTTTCTTTTAAAATATTTATTGTATATATTTTAAAGCAGGTAACATCTATTCATTAACATTTAAATGCAAAACATTTTGTTCTCCCTTTCTTTGCTGGCTCCAGTTTGTAGGGGATCTTCAGCCTCTGAAAGGCAGAAACTGTTAGATACAGAATCAGTTTAGGGAAGGTGAAATAATTGCATGCTTTCCTTATCTGTGATATTGTTTCTTGTACAAGTTATCAGAACTAGTTAGATACAAATTCTCAAAACAAAACCACCCTTTGTTCCCTTTATTTCTTTCCTCTGTTATTCACACACATTTCCAAACCCCAGAGATAACATTTACTTATTGGATTGATTCACTGAATTTCTAGGGCAGGTTGAAATTTCTTGTCCAGGCACTGACAGTCAAAACAGCTTGAATTTTGTGTGTATAATCTATATATATTTTGATCATCACTATCCTGTCACAGAACCAACAAGCACGGAAAATAATGACCACCAAAAAGACGCCAACCTAAGCAGAGACAGAACACAAGATACTGGAATTCTTAAAACAATGGAAGACCAAACCACAGAATACTTACGCAAAAAACAAAGGTTAGTAAATAATGATTCTGCTAAAATAATGGATAATATTAATTCATAGCTAGAAACTTATTTTACAGACAAATGAATAAAAAAAAAATGCATAAACCCCCCCATTTCATTACATGAATTTTCACTTGCCGCTTTGATTTTATCTTTAGCTTGCAGCAATACAGAACTAACAAGTCTGTAGCTGATGCTGGTGAAAAACTGGATAATCAGGTGTGTTTTTCAAGGTAACGTAGCAATAAACATATTCCTCCACCTAGTAGTAGTCTCATTCTATAAGACAGGTAACTCGTTGGAAATATGAAATACTCAAATGTAGGTTTGGAAGTAATTGAGAGAAGTTAATTCATACACTGCTACTCTGAAAAATCAGCTATAGTTCTAGAAAATGAAATCATCAGAAGTTATACCTCTGGTCATAATGTAACAGGAACTACTTATACAATAACTATCTCTGTCTTATTAACATTAGCTGATTTTTTTACAGTTTCTTGACAGTAACATTATTTTTATTGGTGACATTTTTATAATTTCGTATTTCCTATGGGATAAACTTGTCTTCTCTCAAGCCAAGCAAAACTTCTGACTATAAAGTCCTTTAAAACAGAACATATGATGTACTCATAGTATCAGAATGAGAACATACTTAGGAAGACTCAGGACCCACATGCAATCCTAGAGCATAATAGCTGTCCCTGTTAACTGTCACCTGTGAGGTCTCATGCAGAAGTGAGTGAGTGTAGTAAAGTCTTATGAAAATAGTAAGGAAATTGAAAACCTGCTGTTATAAATTTCAGTTTAGAAATTGGCAGTTTAGACTTTGTAAGCAATGAGCCAGATGGCAGTTTTAAGGACTGTTATTGCATATCTTGCATGGAAGTGTCAGTAACGTGTAGGGTTGTGGATGTGGACAAGAACAATTAGCAGTAGTCTACATTTTTTCTGTATGTTCTCTGCAGCGGGAGTGTTGAGTGTTCTGATTTTATTTGCAGAGGTCCAACTCTTTGTACTTCAGTAATCATTTGTACTGGTAACACAATAAAAAAGCTTATATGCAGAATTCAGGTTCAGCCTTCCCAGTCACTCAGGCCGCTTTCAAGACATAAGTCTAAGGTAACTATTCAGGATTGTGAGTTATGTACTTATAGGTGTGTCTTTTGACTCTATAGGCAGATGAAAACAAGCAAAATCATCCAAGAGATATTTTGCCTCCTAGTGCACCTTTTCTGGCACTCTCTGTAAATCCAGCTCAAGTACCTTCAATTCAGGCAGCAAGTGAGTATATGATACTAAGAAATCACAGGGAAGTGAACATTTAGTCAAGAGGGATTAGTTATTGAAGAGAGAAATACCTAACTATGGAAGAACTTGTACATATATTCAATCGCAGTAGTGTTACAGATTTTAATTTGTGGTTGGAAAATTCCAGGCATTTATAATTTGCATGAGCTGTTCATAGAGTGCAGCAGATTTTCAGTGCTAGAAAACTCAGCTTGTGGATTTGGGGATGGAAGGAGAAAAGGAGGGATGTTGGATGAAATACTGCTGACTAAAGTGAGAATGTAGCAAAGAAAACCAGTGGTAGTATTGCTGAGGATCCTCCGCTGTGGTGGGCTGCTGGGGAATCTCTGCTCCAGCGCCTCTCTTCTCCTTCACTGACCTGGGTGTCTGCGGAGCTGCTTCTCTCGCATCCTCTCACTCCAGTCTGGCTGCAGTTGCAGAGGGTGGTTGCCCACGCCCCTTCCTCCTTAAACAGGTTATCCCGGGGGCACTACCACCTTCGCTGATGGGCTCGGCCTTGGCCAGCAGCGGGTCCGTCGTGGAGCCGGCTGCATTGGCTCTATTGGACATAGGGGAAGCTTCTAGCGTTTCGCACAGAAGCCACCCACTAACAAAACCTTGCCATGCAAACCCGATACAGCAGTTTATATGTATCTTGAGTATACACTTCTAGTGACACGGTCTCTAGGCGTATAAGAGGGTGTTTACTTGTTTGTGTGTGTGTGTGTGGACACCTGGATGCGTGCTGGATTTCTCACTTCTTTTCTAATGCACCAGCCATTTAGAAAAGTTAGAGATAGTTTATTAAAATTAAGGAATTTCTGTTGCCTGTTCTGACAGAGCTTTTGGCATGATATATGATGGGTGCACCACAAAATCTTGATTGATTCTTCCTACTCACAGTATCCAGATGCTTGCTAAATATAATTACAATATCTTTAGAAAACAGGATGGTAGACCAGTTGCAACAAATGAAGACAGACAGAAGGCACATGGAAAAAACTAGAGAAGAACTGATCAAAAAAGCTAAAGGGCTACTGGAACAAGCCAAGTCAAGGAGATACCACGGTACACTTCTAATTTATTTTGGAATTTGGAATGATTGAAACCAATGTGAAAACGTTTGTCTCCTTGTCAGTGAGCTTAATTACAGAGAGTGGTTTGCTACCAATAGCTCTGGGAAGGCTCATTTGTGTAACAGCATGCTAAAAAGGTGCAAGGTTGTGATGTTTCCTTCCTTTTTTGTCACAGTCTTATAAATCTACAAGTACATGGCTTTTATAAACCATTCAAGTTGTGCCCCATGTACGCGCAGTGCCCAGAGATCTAGTGCAGGCTGCTCCGCAGGCTGATGGACGTCCGGGTGGCTGACGTCTTCTAAACCTGCCTTTAGCTGGTGCTTACAGAGGTTTTTATGGTGTTGGGCTTCTAGTCCAATTGCTAGCCTAACACTTTTTGTTCCTCCTGTCTAATGCTGTTCAGCTTATGGCACGGAAGTTACAAGCCTCTCATGACAAGCTTGACAAACCTTGTTTTTTACCAGAGAAAAAATCTCATTGAAATCCCACCCAAATATTCTTTGTCAAATTATGTTCAGTTTTATCCTTAAATTATCCTCCCTAAGTCACATTCCAGTTACACAGAGATGAGGTTTAATCACTTTGTTGTTTCGAGAGCATTCTCTTTGTACTTACATATGGTTAAATCACTAGGAGTCTCAACTATTATTAATAGTGCTGTTGAAAGGAGAAGACAAGCCAATTCTTTCAGTTATTTTCTAAAGGCATGGCTACACTGCACTCTGCAGCATGGTGAAGCTGTATTTAAAAAAACCAACAAACTCGATACGTGAAGCAGTGAGTCTGTAGTAGCACGGAGCTGCAAGGCAAGATAATTGACCCTGCTGAGATAAGCCCTAAATGGCTCCTGCATTGTTTTAAATGACATTATCCAGTTAGGTAAAATAAAGGCTATTTCACAAGGATTCAAACAGCTTCTGCAAGTTCTTTAAAGAAGTGTCTCTACCTCTCAATTATTTTTATCAGACCTTTAGGGTTTCATAAGTACGTGCATTTGCAAACATGTTCCTTCAGAAGGTAGGAAGGGAAGAGCATATTCCGTAGGAACAATGGTCTCGTCTATAGTTAATATCCTCCTAAGACTGCCATGCTGACAGTCACTCTCAGCTAGACACTGTGTAGTCCTCCAACAGCTGGGTTCTTTTTGCTTAGTTTCTGAGAAGCAGTTGTCCTGATTTCCTACAATGTGCCTTGAAAGAAGGAATCATTTAAGAGACACGGCAGACTAGTGGATGTTTGTGGCCATAAGGCTACCACACTAGGTACGGCGAGGTTTATGCGCCGGCTGTTGATAACGTGTTAACAACACAAGAGGAATCATAGTTAAGTGCAGAGGTAAATAACTGTGTCACATATCTTGGGAATTCTGTATAAAAGTAAGCTGTTCAGTATCTCTGGCCCTGAAGAGCTCAAACTTTGCATAAAGTTTGTTGTGGTATAATCCCTGCCAGCCACAAAGTACCATGCAGCTGCTCGCTTCCCTCCCCATCCCCCCTCCAGTGGAGGAGGAGAATCGGAAGAAAAGACAAGGGATTGAAACAAGGAAAATTTAATAGTTGAATACAAATTAATATCCTAGTGATACTAAAAATACTACTAATATTAAGTAATTAAAATAATAGGAAATAAAACACATGATACAGTTGCCTACCGCCTGCCAACTGATACACAGACAGGTCCTGAGTAGTGAGAGTCAGAGCCAGAGTCCAAGAGAGCCCCAGGAGTGACAGCACAGCTGGGAAAGCCAACCCACCCACCAACACACTAACCAATAAAACAATCTAATGAACTAATGAGCCAAACGAGCAAGCGAGCTAACAAACAAGTGAGCTATGGCCCCCGGCCCACTCCCTGCGTATGTACTGAGCATGATGTGCTGTGGAATGGAAACACTCCTTCATTTAGTTTGGGTTAGTTGTCTGAACTGTTTCCCTGCCGACACTGCTTGTAGTGAGAAAGTTGGGAACGCAGGGAGTGTCAGAAGATGGGAAAGACCTTGAATTGGTGCAAGCACTCCCCAGCACCAGCTAAAATAACATCATATCAAATGAGTTATATCAAATAACTCTTCTCAGGGCAAATCCAAAACAGCCTCATACCTGCTACTGTGAAGAAAATTAACTCTGTCCTGACTAAAACCAGCACAAGCTACAGTGCTAAATATTCTGCTACAGTCAAACTGTGGACTGCAGGCTGTGGTGGACATGCCAGTCTTCACGGGTCTGGAGCACTTACTGTGCAGCTGAAACCTGCAGAACAGCCAGGCTGAAAAAAATTTGGTTTGCACCTTGTGTTTTATCTCAGTGGGCAGACAGCCTTTTGCTGGAGATGATTGTGTGAAAATTCAGTTGCATTTACAGTGAGTATCATTTTAATGAAGATTGTCACTAACTGCCTTTGTAAGACGACCTACTGCCATGTTTAATGTGTGCGTTGGCCAGCTGAATGTGGTGAGATCAGCTGGTCATTACTGTCTTCAACAGACCTTCCGATAAGGCGGACAAGATCAAGCTGTATTACTGTTTTTCTGTGTAGTTCGTGAGGACTGGAAAAAGAAATACTTTGAGACAAAGAAAGCTACAGTTTCACTGGAGGACACTTTAAACAAACTGCGCCAAGATTTAGAGCTTTACCACCAGAAATTACTCTTGCGATTGGAAGCCAGAGATAGCCGAAAACAATCAAACAACAGGACAAACTCCAAGGTATTTGCTTGTGTTATTTGTCTCTTTACACAGCCTGTTTTTTTGTATAGAATGTGAATTAAAGTTACAAATTCACCACCAGCCAATGACTTGTAAACTAGCTTCAACGGACAAATATGCCTCGATGATCTGAGGTGTAGAATGAATTCAGTGCATTCTTCTCAGAAAGACTGAAGTGCTTTTGTCGGAGCATTTGGCTCTTTCTGCTTTGTGTTTGTCCGGTACCTTCTCCTAACAAAATCCCCTGTTGTTCAGCATGGCTAATGAACTCACCCCAGATTTCCTGTACAGAGGTAGTGAATTCTAGTTGTGTTTGGAGGACAAGAAATGTCTGTGAGGCTTTTGGCGTGGTGGCACCTGAACAGTTGTGCAGCTCTTGAGTCCTGTGTTACATTGCTGGAGTCAAATCATGGGAAGTTCAGAGGAATTAAGAAAAGATAAAAGAAAAGGTGGAAACACCTTTCCCAATAGTTGTATCTGCTAATTTTCTAAATGCATTCATGAAAGCAAGTCTGTTGGCAAATCTGAAGGTAGACCAGGAAAAATAAATGTCCCTTTCTTGTATCTGAAAGGTGGGAGAGTGTATATATGATCTAAGAGCATATATTGTATGCAAATGTGTTTTATTTAAGCTATAGTAAGATAAATATCTACAACATAAAAATATTAATAGGATTGATATTCAGCTATCTATAACTAGCTATATTCAGATATGTTCTTGCTCCTTTTGGTGGGGTGGAGGGATATCAGGGTTTTTTAGGTCTCGCTGGCTAGGCGCAGAGGCCTTACGTGGAGGATGTGCACACCTTAATGTGCGTACAGCAGTTACTTGTTGGCTCGCACACAGAGAAGATAGCTAGGATTTAATGAGCAATTGAGCTAAGGACAAGGATGCTCTCCACCCCTACGTGCTACGTGAGGTGCCTCGGCTGGCCAGGCAGGCATCAGTCAGGCAGGAAGAGTTGGGTTTCTGGGGAGTAGATCCCACTGTTGCTGGTTTCCCCTCTTCCACCAGCTTTGTCCTTAGGGATGACTCAACCCAGCGACATTCCTCAGTAGCCCCCAACTAGTCTGATGGCCCTGCCTGCTGTTGTCCCGCAGACTCTGCCTTTCATGCTTTCTCGGTGAGCTGAGCCAGCGGGACTCGGCCACAGGGAGCTACACCCCTGGGTAGGGAGAAGCTTACAGTGCGAGCTCAGAGATGAGAGGCTACAGATACCACTTAATGACTCCTTGTATGGGCAACTTTATCACGGCATTTGCTTCAGCTGGCACTTTAATAGCATTTTTAAGGGCTTGGAACAGCAAGAGATTGCCACGTACACCCCCACCCCTCAGTGTTACTGACTTCAGGGGACCATGGCTGATTTACATGAGCTGAGTATCAGAACTGACATTTTGAAAACATGACTTTTAATTTTACAGGTTAATTCAAAGATAGGCCTGCCCACAGCTACTGCTGGAACAACGTGCTGTATAACCAGGAGTTTATCTGCACTAAACATCGCATGAGTGTAGCAATCTCATCAATAAACATACTCTGACAGAGTGATGCTAAGGCTGTGAGAGAAAAAAAATATGATTTAAAGTATGCCTTTTTCTTAGAAATGGGGAGTAGCCATAATTGCAAAGCAACTATTACTCAGGAGATTTGGTCTGGATCTTAACTTCCCAAAGCAATAGGGAGTGGAAGAACCTCTGCACCCAGCTGATGGGAGATGCACTCTTGGAAACCAGCGAGAGCCCAGCACACATTAAGGACTGGAAGAAAGCACAGGAGTTTAGAGAATTATTTCTGAGTGGTGAAGTAAGACCCAGCGAATGAAGAGATGAATAATGCTGCATGTAAGGTGGTGGTGGTGTTGTTTCATACAGAATTACACAATCATCCGGATTACTACCGTGCAGCATGAACTTGATCAACTGAGGAGGAAGCTGGATGATACAAAAATGAAACTCATAACAGAAATTAAGGTACTCTGCCTCTTAATTAAAACAGTCAAAATGTTACTATGTATACAGAACCTTAGATCAGATCAAACATTAGATGATGCAAATATTTGCTAACCAGTTCTTGCTTTATGCTGTCAGTTTTATGGTGTTTGTTGTTGTAACTTAATCACTTTACCCCAGAACACCAGGTTATTAGATGATTTTGAATGTGTGGCATTCAAGCACTTAGATTTTCAAGGTAGTATGTCAGCTAAGCTTCACAGTCTCTCATGGAATTCCAGTTTCACTCTAAGGGTGATTGAAGGAACATACTTGGTGAGGCACTGATAGTAGTGTGCCATAGCTGAGACACTGTTTTAAAGAAAAAATAAAAAGAGAATGGCTCTCGAAGCAGATGGCAGTTCTCTTCATCTGCGCTGTTCCCTATCAGTGCTGCCTATGGCCCCCTTTGGAAGGAAGGTGATGGTAGACACCTGGACATTGTGTAGCTTTTAAGCTTTGAATGCTTGAAATAGGAGTCCTCTGCATCACAGAGATTGCTCATGCCTGTTTACTGGGTAATCTAGGGTGGATGTAACTCCATATGCCTCTTCCACTGGAGTGAAAAGAACAGTGACTTTCACAGTTGTCTCTGAAGTAAAAACACCAAGGTGGAGTAAAGAAGAAAGCAGTGCTAGAACTAGGCTGTCTAATTAGACATGTAAAATTTTAAAGATGAAAGATGTATCCTGTATTCAGCCAGCCTATATAAAATTCATTCTTGGATATATAAACCCATATACATGTTAACTCTAAAAACTTCCTTAAATTGCAATTCCTTAAATTGCTGGGTTTTTCTGCAGATGAGAAAGCAGGCAGCGTCCAATGTACAGGCACTGAGAGCAGAACTGACACAGAAGAAGATTCATTCAGCTTTAATTCTCCAGTCCAGAAAATCAGGAATTTAAGAGGATGACATGACTTTAACATCTGTAGACTCTTCAGAAGGTCTGTAGTGTATAGAGAAGCTCAGAATTTCAAAGCATTTGTTTACATGTTCTTGAAGTTATCTTGTAAAAAGACAACAACTCTAACTGCTGTAGATTTTGTATACTAGGCTACGGAGGTGCTGCAGCTCACTTCTTTTTAAATCTCACTCTTACTGTAAGATTAGTCAGCTACTTAAACATACAGTTTAATGTGTCTAAACCAAAGCTAAGTGATTTTAAAAGGGCAAATTGTGTGACATCACACTGACATGCTGATGTTCTTTCTTTACAAAATACCTACGAAGCAAAGAAACCTATAACCATCTGTTCTTATTTTCAGGCACATGCATTTCATTTTTGGAAGATGATTAAAATAGAACTACAGCGACAGTAATTCTTTATTTAGCAATTTACTGCAGTGTATTTTTGTCATTATGCCTATCTATAGATTACCAATTTATTATTGCCATATTGTTATGAATAATGAACAAAATCTCAGATAATCTGACCTTATTTCATGTCTAGCTGTTTTTGTTCCCTCTCATTAGGAAAGCCACATGGACATTAATCTTCTTCCATAGTTAGCAGAAGATGCAAGTTTTCTCTTGGACAAGCTGAACGATGATCCTGGTCTGATTTATAGTATTGCATACTCTGTTTTTCTTTAAGTTCAAACTTATGCATGTGCTTAGATAACAGTTCTCTCAAAGAGTAATCAGAAGCCTCTTCTTGACAGTCCTTTTTTTCTAGCTCTCCTGTTTGCTTCTCTGCAGTTCCAGATGTTACTATGTTAAGCAGAGCAGGAACATGCTAGGAATTAACATCAGCTAAAAAGCTGACACGGCTGTATTTATTACTGGAGGTGAAACACTCATCGGAAATAAGTCACGCAATAAGAAAATTATGCAACTCTCAACAGGACTGTCTTCCAAAAGTCTTCAGTCAAACCACCCCTCATCCAATTTATTGTCTTAAAGATAGGATTTAACAAAGATTTTAGTGCTGAAGTATTACATTAATTATTAAAACTACAACTGCTTTTGCTCAATTCAGGATTGAATCCTACGTGCTTTATTTCAAAACTGTGTCTTATTTAAGACACAAAAGCAGGCAACTAGCTACTGGGAAATCTGAACCCAAGTTAAAAAAAACCCCAAACTATTAACTCACGATTCTTGACTGCTACAGGAAGTAGAAATCTGCTGGCTTTCAGTTAGGATTTTGTAGCTCAGATTATCCACTCCAGAAGACCTCTCAATTTCACAAATATCTGTCTCACAGTATTCTAGCATATGAATATAAACAGCAATATAAATTCTGAGGTATTTGTATTTCAAATAAATTTATCACTTTCTCCTAAAACCTACAGACCAGAGTTCTCAAGTAGAGCCCACGGATTTTCCAAGAGTTTTTTCTTTCTTTTTTAATGTGAGAGCAGTAGACTTCACCTTCTGCTTTCCATCACCTGTCGTATCAAGCAGTCAGACACTCACATCGTCTTCTCCTCAGCAGCCATTACGCCAGTGCTGCTATTCTGTGGTGTTTTCACACTGACTATTCAGCAAGGGGAAAAAAAAAATCAAAACCACACATCAAAAAACCCACCCCACAACTGACTACATCTATCTAATTAAATAAATTGTTTAATTAATGGAGTCACTTAAGCTGGGCACAGTTGCACTTTAATCTGGTTGTGAAACACTTCTGAGCAGCAGTGTGGGCTGTAAGCTGTAGAATAAGTAAAGCATAAACAGACAACACTGTTCACCAACCTTTGTGAAGACAGCATTTTATTTAACAAAAAATACCCTGTAAACATGAGGCAATCTTTCCATGACTACAGATATTTTAGAAAGTTACACGATTTCTCTAGGCAAATTATTTTATGAAAACTCCCAAACAGAAAATACAACCTCATATTATCTCAGAGGCGACATCACATAAAAACAAGGAGCAGGCTACTGAATGGATCTTTAAGTGTGTGGAAACATACATCGGCAGTTCATTAAATAAGCTTCTGAGTTCTAGTTTTCAGGAAGTAAAGTTTGAAATGGAAGAAAACCTCATCCAAGTCCTCTCCATATCAATGTTGCTTCTTCAAGACTGGGTCCAAGATTTTTGGCTTTTGAAACGTAAGGAATTTATGTGATACATAAACACAGCGAAACTGGACTGTATTAAACCTTCCTTTCTTATAAGTCTGATAAAAATCTTAATGGCAACTACTTCTTGTTCCATATTTCTTCAGTCTATACAGTATTTTGAGTTACAAGCACAAATTACACCAAGTTGCATCTAAGCAACAATCTGTCTCCCCAGTGTTCAATCTGATTCAAGAGTGACTTAGCTAGAAGAGAGGTTGGGGTGGGAAGTCAGAAAGCTGAGACATCCCCATCTGACCCCAGGATGAATACTTGCTGCACCAGGCAGCCTCAGTGGAGGACCATTATTAGACTGCTCCTGTAAATCTTGTTACCAGATACACACTGGGTTCGAGGTCTACAGTAGCTATGAAAAATGAAAAAGATGAGCAGTCTTTTTTTAAAAAAATCCTGCCAAAACAACATGGGAACTTTCTGAAGAACAAAAATATGGCTTTGCATACAAAATAACATAAATGAATTTGGCTGGTTCCCAAAGTTTTTGTGACCTTAGTATATTCATATAAAATCAAAATCCATGATAGTATAAGCTATGATTAAAAAACCCACCAATTTTCATCATTCTAAATCGAGGGTTCATATAATTCTTATGGTGTCAGGGCTTGCCACATTGCTTCAGTTTGTTGTTGCGCTGCAGCTTCCCTGGAATAGTCAAGACTATTTCCATTCCACATGCCAATGCCCCTCAGACCTCGATTCTTCACATACGCTGCTTTTAGAGAGATGCTGCGAGGGTCGTCATACCATACTTGGTGGAAGTGACCAAAAGAATCCTAGAAAAGTGTTTCAACACTGTCAGTATCTACCTATCTATATAAACATGATACATCAAAGTTCATAGAGTTTGATAACCATCTTTTAATCATCTACATGTGAAACAGAATTATGTCTAAAGAGACAAGATGAAATGCACACACCGTGTTGTTCATGTAGGGTCGTCATACCATACTTGGTGGAAGTGACCAAAAGAATCCTAGAAAAGTGTTTCAACACTGTCAGTATCTACCTATCTATATAAACATGATACATCAAAGTTCATAGAGTTTGATAACCATCTTTTAATCATCTACATGTGAAACAGAATTATGTCTAAAGAGACAAGATGAAATGCACACACCGTGTTGTTCATGTAAAGACAATCATTCATGGACTATTTCCCTATGTCTGTGTAGAGACCAAGTACAGAAGAGCACATGCATGCAAGGCACTGGGTTAGAAAAACTTAAGAGCATCTCGGAACCTGTTTTAGTTTAAATCATTCATCAACTCATAACTGTAACAGTGAAGGATGAAGCTATAGGATTTCTTTGTATCACATCAAAAAGGATGTTTTGGCACATTCTCTCCAGAAAACTGCAAAGTAATAAACATCTTTATTACTCCTGTAGCCTTCAGTCACTGCACCCGTCTTCCAGAGGAAATTCAAGATAGGGAAATCCTGCCATCTTTTACTACACAAAAAAAGAGACGTGTACATACACAAATGGAAGAATCTAACCCTGAAAACTTTATAATCAAAGAACTATGGTTCATGAACATTTACTCCACAACACGGTGTCCTGTAAAGAGACACTTACCCTGTATTCATAAAATGGAGATTTCTGTACCTCATCCCACAGCAGCCCTGAAAGAGAACTGTTCACCTGCTTCATTATTGCTCCATAGGGAACCTGACGCCCTGCAGCATCACTGCAAGGAGCCCCACGGAAAGGTACTTTGGAAAGGGAACAAACATGATCCTGAAAAACAAAGCAAAAGGCACAAGTTTCATGTTACATAGATTTACTGAACTCCAGAATAGCAGTACAGGCAAGAACAAAGTCACCAAAGGCACTGACGTCTCAAAAATCCCAAATCCTTAATTATCAGTGACAGGCATTCTAACTGTAGACAGAAATAAGTTAAGACAGTTAAATTTTGTTTACTCTGTAGTAATACAGGATCAAGTGGACAGAATTCAGCTTACACAGTTGTCTTACCTTTTCCACTTTTAATTCACTCTTACATTTTTTGTAAGTATAATGTTTGAGACTCCATGACTTACCCATAAACTGCTATAATTTAACAGTCATAGGTTTGCTATGGTGTTGCACCTAGTCTTTAAGTAGTGAGCTAGCTTAGTGACCGTGTTGAGAAGGCAGATACAAGTCTAGTGCCTTTGGACATCGTCTCTGCTCATACAGATAAGATCTACAGTCAAACCTTGTGCTTGGGTATCACGGGGTTCAGGTTGCCTGGGGAGAGATAAAATGCCTTGTTTGGTAACACACTGCTCATCAGTTATCACCCAAGCAAAAGTCTCCCTGTCCCGAGTCCCAGCTTTATGCTCTTACCCATCAGACCACAATATTTCCTCATCCAAAAACAGCATCAACAAAATCTAGCTGTCTCTTTCCAAAGAAAAAATTAACAATACGATTGCAAATGAAAAACCTTCATCTTACCTTAGATAGGTTTTGGCAAACATAGTCATAGCCATACCAGGGGACGCCCATCACAAGCTTCTTGGGATCAATGCCCATAGCAATGTACTCTTCATATCCTAGTTTTGAAGGAAATAAAAATTAGGATGCATTATTGCATCTTCCCGTGCTTTTTATCCTTAGAACGAGTCTAGAGCCAGAGCCAATATAGAATCATAGAATGGTTTGGGTTGGAAGGGACCTTAAAGATCATCTAGTTCCAACGCCCCTGCCATGGGCAGGGACACCTTCCACTAGACCAGGTTGCTCAAAGCCACATCCAGCCTGGCCTTGAACCCTTCCAGGGATGGGGCATCCACAACATCTCTGGGCAACCTGTTCCAGTGCCTCACTA